GGCCTGGAAGGGCAGAGGAGTGGGGCTAGGTGAGAGCAGCTGCAGACTTAAAGCTGCTTCAAATTGCAGCTGAGTCCTACAACCCCCGGGACCCAAGAGTGAACCTCTGTTGGGTATGGGGGAATGCTGTAACTCACAGTGCTTCCTGCGAAGTGCTGTGAGTTAGAGCAGGGAGCTGCACTTCTGTCTGCACCTTCTGAGATTCTTGGCAACTTCTTTCTAAGCCCTCTTTGCAGCCTCAGTTCCCCTCTTTGCCCCTTCTTCTGTTACCTCTTGTGCTAGGAAATCTCTCCAGTATCAAGACCTCATTTTACAATTAAAAGCCTTTTCAAAAGCCACTTCTTTCAGGGGGCATTTAAAGTGTGTGCACGCCTTTTTTTTTTTTTTTTTTTTTTTTTTTTTTTTAACGATAATTGATGTGCAATAGTTTGAACTTCAGCCAATCTCTCTATCATGTAAGAGGTTTTCTGAACTATACTAGCTTCATCTGGGCTATGTTGTATGTTCCTTAGAGCAGACTGCATCTTCTGCGTTCTATATGTCAGTGAGCTCACTGCCATCAGTCAACAAGCTTAATTCTCTCCTGTGGCGCTACCAGCAACTTCCCCTTGATCTTACAGGGTTCAAGTGTGATGCATTTCTCCTGTCCTAGCTCCTGAAGATCCAGCTTTATCCCTTGTGTGTTTTCTAACACTACACAGAAAACATGAGAAACAGTTTAGAATTTCTGTTGCACAAGTGAAGGGACTTTGCCCAGATCTTATTCAGCTGAACTTTAAAATCCAGTCTCTTGCAGCTTCGCTGGGTGGGGGGACAACAATCCTTGTGACCTCCCTCATTCTCTACTGTGGGGTTACTGCCCCTTGAAGGAGCTGTAAACAGATATAGCACCCTGCTGCCTCAGAAGCTTAACAGCAATTCCAAAGACTCATCTTGACACATTCTTCTGTAGTTAGTTCACTCACTCTAGTTGGGTTACTTTCTTGCTCTACAGCAGCGCCTGCGGGGGATAAATAATCTCCTCCAGCTGCAAATTCTATCATTGAGAGGAACTTGAATTCAGAATATTTGCATTTGAGTAGCCCCCAAGCTAAATAGTCTAGAACAAACTCAAGTATTCAAAAAGCACCAAGCTTGTGCTCCTAATTCTTAATTTTACAGGAGAGAGAGCCTGGATGACCCCCTGCAGTGTTCTTTCATCCCCCCCCACTCCTCAGTCCTAAGAACTGTAGTACCTGGAAGGATGCTGTTAGATGGTAATTGTATCTTTGTTAGGATTTTGTATTGTATTCATCACCCTAAAAACAATGGCATCTCAGTATTTGGAGCTCTGTATAGTGCATCTGTTTTTTCACAAACCCTACAAATCTCTTTGAGCTCTCTTTTTGGTCACAGATCTCCATTTTCATATAGTTGCAGTGTGTTGTAAAGGAGATCTGATTACATTTTTGGCCTCTAAAGTAGTTCACAATACAATCTGCAGATGTCAGCAGCACTTATTTGTGTGTAATCTCCATTAAACAAAACATCTAATCTAATTTACAATTCTCCAGCAGAGCTTAAAGTAAAAGGAATTTGTCTAGCCAAGACATTTAGAAGAATGATGGGCAACAAATACACTAAACCCATTCTTTAAAGAGATGGAAGCTTCCAATTTGCAGTTTGTATGGTCTGACTTCAGCCTCCTGCTTCAGAATGTAATAGTCATCACTATTCCCTTCTAGAAACGTGTTATCAAAATTTCACTAAATAGCTGTCTTTTTTTTTTTTTCTTTAGCTTTACATGCATATGACCCCATCTTCAAGCAAATGACTCATTCCTCCAAAGTGCAGGTGAGTCTAAATCAACTGGAGTCTCTCAAAAAAGGTGAACTATGTAATAATTTAGTTTCAAAACTCTGTGCTTAGAAGGATGATGCTTCTCCCCTTAAAAGAGTGTATACTAATTTATCATTGAAAATCCTGATAGGTAATAGTCAGAAAGCTGCATGATCACAGTGTATAACTTTGGGTTATTTCACAGGAGTTAGGAAGAAAGCTGAGCCTTGAGAAACCAGTGGTTGTACAGAGCATGTACATCTTCAAGGTACAGTAACTCCAATCTCACATTTACTTAAAGAAGACATGTTTGTAATTTCCTGTTGAACATTCTCCTTTTCACTCTTTTTTTTTTTTTTTTTCTTTCTCTTTCAGCAACCGGGCATTGGTGGGGAAGGTGAGACTTGTAATATATCCATGCAATGCTCTAGGCAGTATGGACAGGTACCGAGGCTTGTGTTTCTGAAGGAGAATGCTAAGTACCGCAAGAGACAGCACGGATTGGTCAGTCAGAGTGAGGCTTCAAAACTACGTGAGGGTTTTGAAGACCAATTTATGTTAGAAATTAAGGGGATTAGACATACAAATTCTCTAGATGCCATTGAAAATGCCACATAAGATGCGCTTCTATTTTTCACTAAGGACTAATTTACTTTCCCATCAGTTTAAATAGTTGTTTTCAATGTTATGTCCCATACTACATAAGAAACTGGAAAGGAGTGGAGCATCTATCTGAGGTAGGG